ACGACGACGACTACTACTACTAACAATACTTAAACTAGTAAGCATGAGCTTCCTATATTTTTCTTAGCAATCATGAGAACGAAACCACTGATACTCCATAGTGCATCCGGGCTGCCCTTGCCCTTGCGAGGGCCCGAACTCCTCCACTCTTCTTCTTTCCCGCCATCGATATCTCGAAAGCCTTTACCTCGCGAAAGGGGGCTCACAAAGCTAGGGTTCAATGGGGACTGACTGAGGGTTAAGGTTTTAGGGAGGCTTGGGGCTTAGGGCCTAAACGCGATCCGGATCTTAACACTGGCTGCCTTTGGATTTTCCGAAGTCCTTGCCCACACTTTGGGACGGCAGCATCTGGTCGACCTGGCTCACCGGCGTTTGCACGTCGCGTAGGGTCTCCCAGCTGTCAGCTGTCAAGGAAGGATTCTCGCTTGGGTCACGGCAACACTACCACCGAACTTGGAGTTCAGCTCCTTAGTCAGAGGGTTGTTCTGGCGCGATTTGCAGATGCCACTGAGCTCAACCTCCACAGGATTGCCGACGGGCGACCGCCATAGACATTTTAGTTCCGCCTGGCTTCTTTGGGGCCATGGCTCCGGTCTGGGAGGTCCTCGGCTCAAGGTATTTGGCCCAGGTTTGAGGGGCGGAAGGGCTGAACTCGGTGTCTTACGGCATGCAATGAGCCACGCTGCACACTTGCAGACGCGTCGACTGTTCTTTGTGCCACCCGCGCTGGCATGCAGACAAACTTCGAGAGCAAGTGAGAGAAAAAGAGAGAGAGAGAGAGAGAGAGACAGAGAGCGAGAATACGTAGATGTTTAATATATACCGTGTATATATATATATACATATGTGTGTATATACATATATTTACACATACATACACACAGACATGTACATAGATTTATTTATCTGTCTATTTAGTTATTTATGTGGGTGTATGTATAAAGCCACACATGACACGACAAACAGTACACAACCACAAAGATGAATTACATTGCCTGGCATTAAATTACACTGAACTATGCCGCAGTGCAATATGTTGTATTATATTGTGTTGAACTTCATCGTATTGTATTGTACTGTACTGTGTCATATTGTAGCACCTTGCATTCCCATATCATATGTTAAGACATAAAAGCTAGAATAGTACAGTATACTTATGTTACATGTCAGCATATTGCAGTATGTTGTGTCAAATAAGATCATGCGCTACTATTGTATCGTATGATATGGTATTGTGTTGTAATACCGAATTCTGTTATGTTAATTTCAACTACAATATGTTACATGATAGTTTATTATACTATATGCTACCTTATACTATTCTATAATATAACATATATTTCGTGATAAATGTTATATGACAATACACTATATTTTAGTGCACTGCATCATATGATATGGGGTTATATTGTATCAAATTTTGTTAGACTATGTTAAATCCCCCTCCACTGCACTCTCTTCCGCTATGTCACACGACTATACTACATTACATTCTATGACATCATACTGGACTGTAGCATGACTACACTTCTGCTATGTCTATAGCATACCAGAATTTTGAGCCTGCACATCAGCCCATTTCGGGCGACTTGCAATCCAAGACGCGACGACCTGAAGAGCTAAGGGCACCTGTAACCTATCTAAAGTCTGGCAAGCCAGTTCAAAACTTGAGCCAAAACTCCAGTATGCCCGCTTGCAGACACGATCCGGCAGCGAACACTGCAAGGAGCAGTGCGCTCGGCACACTCTGGACATGAGCTTTTGAAGCCATGCTTTCATGCTGTCATCTCTGTCTCCTGTTCCGCCGCCAGGTTGTGGAGGCTGGCAAGCCAAAGGAAGCCAGGGAGAGGACACCTGCATGAGTTGGCTTCAACAAGCGGGGCATAGGTTGTGGTTTTTTGGAGCCTCGACAAGCTGAGATAGCTGGGGTCGAACAGTAAGCGAGATCGACGTGTCTAGAGAGGCCCCGTGCTTTTCACATCGAAATCCATATGCGGTGCGTCTGTCAACGAAAGGAATCTATGGCATCAATCACAGCAGAACGCAGCTGTGGGGCCATCGAGGATGAATGGCCAGCCATTGGAACCATCAAGAAGGATGCCAAAGGCAGCCGCTTGCGCAATGTCCAAGCATTGGAAGGCGTACACAGCACATCGTTCTGGCCGTGTAAGATCGCACAGGGCAGATGCGCAATGCGCCAGCAGTCCTCGAGCAGCTGGCTGCAATCCATGAAGCATCCGTGTTTCATGTAGTGGAGCTCGATGGCCGATCCTGTGCATACGAGCAATAAGATCTCTCAGATGTGGACATGACCAGTTCTGTCCCAACCCTTGCTGATCCTACTCTACAATCGGCACGAGTTCGTACCTGCTTGGTGCTCATGTGTTGCTTGACCAGTCTTTGCTTCCCGCTTCCGCCTGTTTCACCCTGTTTCAAACCATCCTGAAGCCGACCGCTCCTGGGCCAGCTTCCGCGGGGTTCGCAGCGCAGCTGGCGATGAAGTCCTCGTCTGGCTGCAGGCCTAGTAGCCGCAAGATCCATTTCGTGTAGCTACTGCGCGCCGGATAGCAGACCGTCGGATCTGCGGAGCTCAGGCGCTTGGCATAGGAGCCAATGGGATCCGAACGCTCTTCGACGGGCAAGGCTGAGAGAAAGGCTTCGTACTCTTCAGGGAAGAAGAGCCCGGCTCCCTCGCGGCTGTAAGGCCACTTGACTGACTCTGGACTCGGTAGAAAGATCGAGTAAAGCACCAGGCCTCTCACCTTTGTCGGATGCATCGTGGAATAGAGAAGGGACAGCGTGGATCCCCAGCTGCCTCCAACAACGAGGCCCCAGTCTTCGATACCCAAAAACCGCCTCAGCTGCTCGATATCTTGGACCAAGGCCCCGGCGGTGTTTTGCTCCAAGGAACCTCCCGGCTCGGACTTTCCAGCGCCCCGCTGGTCAAAGACGACAATTCGGTACACAGATGGGTCAAAGAGCCGCCGATGCTTCGAACTGGAACCGTCACCAGGTCCTCCATGCAGGAAGAGGGCCGGCTTGCCCTCTGGATTGCCTGAGACTTCGTAATACAGGTCATGCTTGCCGTCTGCAGTTCTCAAGGTTCCTGTCTGGTATGGCGTCAGTTCCGGATACAGAGCCCCGGATGGTCGTGCTCCTGTGCTTGTTTCGCAATGGACAGGTGAAGATGCTGTCCACGATGTGGGACGCAAGCACTGCCGTGGTATATCTGCTTCACCGCGAGCTCTGGAGTTCTGCTGCAAGAGCTTCGGTGCCGCTACACCGAACACGGCACAAGCAGGTGCGAAGGATCGGATTCCGCGTAAGGCGCGGTGCATGGCTGAAAGCTGCTGAGAGTCCTGAAGAGATGCAACTCGTGCTTTGGGCTTAGTCTGCAAGGGTTCCAGTCATAGTCGTCGTTCTCAGAGCCGAAGAGCTGGCCCCGGCCCCTCCCCTAGAAGTGGGCACCAAAAGAGAGCATGGGCAGGGCGGGCACGTGCCGGGTCTTGCCTCAGAGTCGCCGAAGATTGGGAAGCTCTGCGACGAGAGTCGGCGCCTCTCAAGGAAAGCGCATGAACAGCATCTCCGCCCTTCTGACAGGAACGGGGCCTGAGGTCCAGCGGCGAGTGCTCGGCGGTCACGGAGGCTAAGAGTTAGAGGTCCAAGGCGAACTGGTGCTTCGAGAGGTGCTCACGTGGAGGTGGAAGGGCTGCGATAGCACCTGTGCCTGAGGAGCAAACGAAAATCGTGAAGGCAGTCCACACACACCTCCAAACCTTAAACCTCCAAGCCGATGATAGCTGCACACTGGGTGGTTGCTTCGTCAAGCTGCGCTGGAAGCCCATTCTCTGGTATAACCGCATGGCAGCATCGTTCCTCTCAGGGCTGGCCGAGACCCCTTCAGATCTAAGCTTTGAAAACTCGTCGCCGTAGCAACCAGGCGTCCCAAAAGCTCACCCAACATCCGAATGGGACTCTGAAGCCGATACACCATGTTCCCGGCAGTCTCAGGCCCGACCCTCTACGTTTCTAACTGAGGGCACAGTGAGCTCAGCACATCCCTTCCGCAGTCCCGTCTGCGACGTTCAGCGAGACCCTTCTCGCTCCCACACCGCGTGCCCATTGGATAGCTGCATCCTTGGCACAGAGAAATGTCGCTCAGACTTAGATTTAACTTAGACTTTGCTGCGCATCACGGGCATCTACTGAATCTCGCAGAGCGGCCAGAAGTGCAGCTCCAATCCCACGGCAGCGGTGCTCCGGGGAAACCCATAAGCCCAGGGTCACCGCATCTGCAGTTCAGAGTCAGAGTCGAGGGCATACAGTGCAACAAGCTGGACACTGCAGTGATCCGACAGTTTTGTGACCATGCTATGCTTGCCCTGCATGACAGGCACTCAGACTCAGCAGTCGCGAATCAGCAAAACTTAAAATCCCTACCCGTTCTGGTCATTTTCAGCCCTTGAAACCAAAGCCTTGATGCAGTGCTTTGTGGATGCCAGCCTCCTCTCCGCACAACCCACGCAAAGCCCACATCGCATCCGGCAGAAGCACAAAAGACGACCACACCTTGCAACAAGTGAGATTGCGCCCAAGACTTTGTACATAGGGGTCCTGTTTGTTAACTGACATATTGATCAAGTTAGGAACCTAAGTAAGTCCTGCCCACATCAGTCGGGCACGAGGCTTGAAGCAGAATGGCATAAGACTTCATGAAGGGCCACCTTGTTGGATGCGCTCTTGCCACTTCTCCACGAGATGCGCCTCTTCCGTCTCCAAGCTTGCGGTAAACGCATCGGGAGAATCCCGCATGGCACCTGCACATCCCTAAAGCTGAAAATATCTAGACTAGATGAAGCTACTGGATCTCGCCTTCTGAACTGAAACGACAGCTGTTAAAGTTTGCTCTGAGGGCTACTCATAACATTCGTGATGTTGTTGTTCCCCGATACTGCCGCCAACGTGGGAAGCAATCGCACAATATCGACGAGGAGGAGGAGGACAAAAAACAGATGCTTACGAATAGTGATAGCAGCAGCAGTCGTAGTAGTAGTCGTCGTACTAGTGTTAGTCGTAGTAACGTCGTAGTAGTACGTAGCAGCAGCAGCAGCAGCAGCGGGTTTTGGTTCGACATCGCGACAGTAAACAACGCCAGCGAATGCATCGCTGGCTGTGCTTAAACGGTTCGCATGAATTCATACGCACCGGGCTTAAAGGTTTGTAAGCAGTGTTGGTGGGCTGGTGGTCGGTGGTGGTTTGGGTGGTAGTGGTCGTGGTCGTGGTAGCGGTAGCGGCAGTGGTGGTAGTAGCAGTGGCAGTAGTAGCAGCAGCAGCAGTAGCAGCAGCAGCAGCAGCAGGAGCAGGAGCAGGAGCAGGGCAGGAGCAGGAGCAGGAGCAGGAGCAGTAGGAGTAGTAGTAGGAGTAGTAGTAGTAGTAGTAGTAGCAGCAGCAGAAGCAGTGAGCAGCAGTAGCAGGGCCCCACACATGCTTGGACTCTCCACTCGAGTTCCGGAAGTAGCCGTTGAGGCACACGCGATTTTGGGTTTAAGGAGAACTCGTCCACACACAGTCATCCTCCCTGAGATGGAGTTTATTATTCCGCTCCTTGCGGCCACGGCCCCTGGGTGCTGCGTCGAGGTCGCTGTCCTCGCCAGTCCCAGTCCTGAAGGCAGATATGCCTTTCAAGAGCTCATGGGAGCTCGCCGGATTCCGGATTCAGACTATTCGGGCACAGGGCTTGCATGGCAAGTGCCTCACAACGCTGAGTGTTGAGCATTCCACTGCATGATACTGCGTTTCTGAATTTTTGGGCTTCCGTGTGCAGAGGATTCATACGCTCCATGAAGATTCGAGGTCACGAACCCAGGTTACGCTGTGGTTCTATGCTGGAGCCTGGTCCCGCGGCTTTCAGAACCGAGGAAGCTGTCGACAGGAGTTGGCAGCGGTGCCCAATCCTGCACACGAAAGGGATTGACGCGTCCCGTGAAGCTGACCGATTGGGTTGTCGTTCTGGTCATCCGGCCTTGTTGGGTGTGTCGCTGAAGAGTGCCAAGTCTGGGAACTTGGCTTCTATCCTCAGAATGGAGCTAGTCAGTCTGCCATATAAACCACAAAGCACCAGAGCAGGAAGCACTTGCTGACCCGAGTAGCCCATTTCCCTGCCACTTAGTACCCAGCTTCTTGTAGCTTTCTGGCTTGTCAACAACTTCCATCTTGCTGCAAATCTGCAGCAAATGGACACTCGAGAGGCACGTGTCGATGCAAGAATCAGCCAGGACGAGTCGGCTCACCACTGGCACAGAACACTGCCGACCTCAACGATCTGCTGTCTGCTGTACCGCCGGAAGTCATGCTGGTACCTGACTCGCTCAGAAACCGCAAAATGCTCAAGAGCGGGCCATCAACTCGTAGACATTAATGCTCTATGTGGTAGCACAGGCTTCCATGAGCATGCTGCGGCTTGAGGGAAGCACCCAAGATTCTCGTCATCGGTGTCAGCGCCCTGTCGTTCTAAACAGGACAAACGCATGAAAAGGAGAAGGCTGCGACTCCTCGCGCCTTGCCAATGTCGGTCGGGCTCTGGAAAGCCTGGCACGTTTCGGAGCCGTTTGAGGATCTCACTTTCGTCTCGCGTCGGGCACAAAGCCACGCTTCCAACACAAGAGGCAAGTGCCTGAAAATCAGCTTCTCCCTTGCTCATGGAGCCTTGCAAGACTTGGGATGATCACAACATTAATTTGCGAAACTTGGGTGGAGCAGTTGTGGACTTGCACAAATCGAAAATGAAAGTAAGTCCTCGGCGGGATTTCGCCTCAGCCTTTCCTTTGCCTGTGTGCCAAAGTAAACAACGTTTAAGGCACCAGGCTATTGCTATGGACATCCACGGCACTGTAGCACGGCTTCTATTTCAGCGCAACCAATGGCCTTTTCCCTTGTCGAACCCCTTGTCGAACCCCTTGTCAAAGCCCATGTCGAAGCCCTGCAGCAAAGGCTTCTGGAGAAACCAAGGCTCCAACTTGCAATCCTTCTGAGCAGAGGCTTAGCAGCAGCATCCTGCCTTGCTAGGTAGTCCTTTGCCTTTTCCCTTGTGGCCCTTGTCGCCGCCCTTGTCCACACCCTTGTCCATGCCTTTGTCGGTACCCTTCATCAGGCCTCAGACAACACTCCAGCATGGTGCTTCGATCAAAGTCCTTGCAAAACACAGAAGCACTAGAAAGATGAACTCAAGAACCGCTTTGCAATTCAGGCGCCTTTGCCCTTGAAGAGTCCCTTGTCCGCAACGTCCTTTCCCTTGCCCTTTCCATCCTGCAATTCTGGGGAGGATCGGCAGCACCAGCCCTCACCGAGTCGGTCTTCCTACTTTCAGGAGATCGTCGGATGACACCCCGGAGATTTCATGGGCGTCTGAGACGGTCCCGCCTTGCCCACATCAGGTGGAGACATCCAGGTGGGCTGTCCGGGAACCTGCCAAAAGTAAGCAGGTCAGGCTCCCAAGCCTCAGGAAGAGGGACTTGGTGCTGAGTGCTCCGACGACCCAGCCACCAGAAGCATTGGCATTCCACACCTGCATTCCAGACTTTAGCCTCCGAGCCTAACAACCCTGACTTGGAATCTTTATCTGTGCTTGTACCCTGGGACCCTCAGAGCTCACAGTCGTCCCCGACTCACCGAGAAGGTAAGCACCATGTTGGCTCATGACGGCACGCCATGTCACCACGACACCGCTGCAAATGACAAGTCTCTCTGGCTTGCTACCTGGTAGTTCATCGCGGCAGCCCACGGAGGTACACCTTAGAGTAGCGTCGGAAGCTCGAAAACACGACGGTCAGATGGCGGCCGCTCAACTGCTAGATCGAACGTTGCAGAACAGTGTGCCCTTTCAAATCGTCAGCCCTTCCAAATCGTCAATTCAGCCCCCGTCTCCCTGCACATCGCATGTGCTACGGATCAGTGAGACCCTGCTATGGCGGACAATGAGTCAATCGCGTCATGTTCGCGATCTCCAGAAATTAGAACAGCTTGCCGTCAAGTCAACGACGGACACAGCTGACCGGCCAGTGCCCCTCTTGAGCACGAAACCATGATTCTCCTGAAATATCGGTTCACGAGGCCATGACCATGGGTCGGAAAGCCGGGCATGGGCTGCATCGGAAAGAAGCTGCGCAGAAACTGTTCCGACCTGCGAACTGGCGACATGACAGCGCACTGTCGGTGCCGCAGGTACTTCTGTTTTCGAGATCCCGGCTTGATGGAGCACTTCACTCCTTTCCCCCGAAGCTTCTGGGATCTGCGCAAGGCATCAGCACTGTGCCTAGATTCAACTCAACATGTCATGCATGCGACACTCCAACCTGAGCCACAAAGCTGCATCCGTTGCATCCATGTCGGATTTGAAGGCGACGAAAGCCTCGAGCGGCTGTCGTGCAAGGCGCATGCCGTACTTTACATTATCCGTAGCTCGCTTTTCTCGCAACCTGAGCATTGGACCGTGTTGTTAACATCAGGCTTGATCGACACCAGGGACTCCGCTGCAGGACACTTCTCGAACAAGTTGTGCAGCTCCTCGCGGCGAGTCGACTGCTTCGGGCCTGACTTTGAGCTTCGCTCCAGCTATTTCCCAGCGATTCCGCACAAAGGACTTCGGAGGACGCAGCGCTGCTCAGATGAGAAACCGACTGTGACGAGCCTAGTGGCCTAAAGCTGTACATGTCTGTACAAGTCTAATGCATGAATCACTGGCTGTACATGAAATGCAGTCTGGCAGGCTGGGCCGAAGCCCACACTCCCCGAATTAGTAGATGGCCTTTCGAAGTCATTTCAGGCTTGACAGTCTGGTGCTCTCAATTGGCTCTAGGCCATGTAGCTCCAGCTTGACCTGGCGGAGAGCCTGGGCTCGTGGTTCGTATCCCGCGAAGAATCCGACGCCATGCACACGACTTGCAATGTGTGAAGACGTGTGAAGTCTGAGGATGCTAGGACATGCTAGGAGCCTACTACAGTGGACTCTTGCCTCTAGACAGATCAGCCTTTCATTCCCCTTCCGTGCCTCGGGGGCCTCGCGCGCTGCCTCTTCCACTGCAGCCAAAAGCTCAGCATCCACTTCCTGGCTTCTTCACCGTTGGCCAAACATCAAGCAGCCTTCTTTACAGGGAAATGTGGCTGGAGACCAAAAAAAATCGCAGGACTCGGAGGCTACTTCGCGAGGCCGGCGCGATACAACGACAGACCCACAGTAGGGATACACCAACGTGGCTGCTACCCGCTGCTATGTCCTGCGACCTGCGAGCAAGGTTTATCTGCCGCAACTGTGCTGAATGCAGAACCAGTGTCTCGCCGTTCTGGCGGCCTCGCAGCAAGCGTTGGACGGCACTGCGGCAAAGCCTACTCTTTGGGATAAGGCTGAATCCCGACTCGGAAACATCAGGTTTTGCCATGTGCACATTGACCAGCCCCAATGTCTAGCAGATCTGGCAGGATCAGAGAGAGATGGCCTGTACGAGAGACCAATGGCGGCAAATATGGCCCGTTCCTTGGAGAGCAAGCTTACGGTTTGTCTGCCGCTCGTTCGTGAAAATATGCTCCATCGTCAAGCTGATGCATGCGGGGCTTGGGGCGTTGCAGGTATCGAGCAGGCTTACAGCAACTGAAAGCCAACAAGCTTCATCGGGACATTCCATTTTGGCACCAGCACGACAAATCTCTCCCACCTGGCTCATGTAACGTCTTCCATGAAGGGAATGAAGCAGCTCCGCCGACCTGGCGACCACGAGCGCCTTCTCGATCAGCCTTGCAGCGTGACACAGAGCTTCAAGCTTGCGGTTGCGGCCCTTGCGGCTCTCAGCAGAGCAAGGCCTTGCACATGTAAGTGTGCGAGAGGTGGAGTCCGCGGAGTGCTGCAATGCGCTTCATCTCCCTGAGCCCAGGAAACCCAGCGAGGCCCGCCTCTTGTCTAGTCTGTGTGTCCGCAAACCACGTGCCTGTTGAAAAGGCCCCCATCGCCTCGGCTGCCACACCACCGGTGAAGCGGCGGGACTCACTGAACACTTCCAACCCTGCCTCACTACTCTATGCTCGAAAAGAGCTAACTCATAGAGTCATAGAGTTGCATCCAACCGAACGATCTTCTCGATCATGTGAAGACCAACTCCCGTTCCCTCTTGACTCAGTACAAGTAATCTGTCGATCAGATCAGCCACGAAATACTTTCTATAACGAAAAAATGCCGATGTTTACAACTGAGAAGCTTCCGGTCCACTGAAGAGTGATGAAGGGCAGGCCAGCGCGGCGGCAAAACACAAAGTCGCACCGCCTCTTGGCCGAAGCAGGAACTGCCGGAGGGCTTTGGGGCTCTCGATCCTCTGGCCATGCTTAAACCGCAATGGCACCGCACCTGTATCTCATGGGCTCTCCTTCGATGGGACAGCCCCGTACCACACAGAGGCATGCCTGGAAACCACAAAGGCACGTGCACCCTCTTTCAACTTCAGCCACAGCACACCCGTGCCTGGGCCGAGCCTGTTGGGTCATCATCCCCAGGCACCCTGACGTCAGACAGAGTCAGCCGTGGCCCGACATCTTGCAGACAATCGGGTCAAGCTCGCACTATGCTGTGCCTGACAGGTTTCGGGGAGTGCGGAGCATTATTGCTAAGATCGGCAACGATCACGCCGCCAGACTCCATCGCCTGGGCCACAAGTAGACATGCGTGTTGCTGTCACGGTTCCGTTGCCGCTTGAAAAGAAGAATGTTAGGATCCCGCAAGAAGATATGCGGCAGCATCGGATTCCACTGGACCGTCGCCTGATCTCGAAAACATCACATGCACTTCCGTTTCCACCGGTTGCATTTCTTGCATCGCTCCGGCGGGCATGCACTTGCGCTCCAGTGGTACAACCAAAGCTATACAGCAACACGCGTGAGCGACTCGCTGCCTTCGACACACACCACCAGCGTCATCCCCGAGCATAGCACGTCTCCACGGCCTTGCAAAACACGCATGTGCAATGAACACTCACCTCTGCTATTTACGATGAGATCATGACGGTAGGCACCGCAAGGGACCACTGTCGCAAAGCAGTTGGCAGCCTCATTTGGAGGTTCCGTCTGCATTCCCACTTGGGCGATACCAGGTCGGCGCCGTGCCTCGGCGGCCCGCTGCACCGCGCAGTGCACGCGCTCCACCTCCGAGCGGGAGATCGGCACCTCGCACAAGCGAAGCAAAACATCCCTAAGACGGCTAAAGACCCGATACCACTAAAATCTGCTTCCCGGCCTGGAAATCATCCACGAAACGCAGTCCCAAACGCTGAGCCTCGATCAGCGCAACGAGTCCGCACAACCAGTCCAGCGATTCTGACATGATTAGTTGACGGACTCCGTTGTCACAAGCCAGCCTTTGTCAATCCCGTCGCGGGGCCACCGGCAGTACCCGGCAGCGAATCCACACGCAGGCGGACATCTGCAATCGAACGTGCACCGCACCTGCACTGCCGAGCCCAGGTCAAAGACATATTAGGAATCATAAGGAGAGTCAGAGTAAACTGTTTGCGACATTCAACTCGAACCAAGCCCTAGTTATGCCGCCGGTTAACCTGAGCCATGTCTGCGCCAGCGCGGGGCCGACACCGTGTATCCTGCGAGCACCCACAGAGGACTTTACGGCACGCGCCCGTGGTGCACAGCTGAAGCTGGCTTTCAAGTGCCACACGAAAAGTGGAAGCATCCTGGTCATCTCTAACAGCGAGTGGACGTCCGCATCCTCACGCAGGAATGCGGTAGCATTCTAGCTGTCTGTCATGCAACACTTTGTCACCATGTCATGAATCTGTGTTCGAGTCAATTCAAAACACACTGTCCTTCCGGAAACCGTCTGCCTGCTGCAGGCAGCCCTTCTCCTGGATCTCCTGTCCGCCCAACCCACGCGAATGCATAAACCAACTCATCACCTCATTGTGACCTGGAAACGCGCATAACGTCCGTCTTTGCGCATGCCCAATCCGATGCCTGGCATTTCTGCACGAACTTTGGCGTCAGCCCAGAATGGGAGAGCTCCTCACGGGCAGCAATCGCATGTCCGGTCATCGAAGCCGTCGACTATCCAGCTTTGTAAAAGCCTACGAAACCACGCCTCCCGCTGCAACGTGCCGCGCAGCTGGGCAACCAGCTGCTCTGCCTATACACAATATGGAACACAAAGGGGAAGCTCCATCAAGCTCGATGTCGATGCCTTCTTGTACTGCCAGGAACGCCACTTGTCGCCACGCACTGCCCAAGCTGCAGCGCAGGTGCGGAACCTTTCACCACACGAGCAGACAAGCTCGTTGTGGGCGTCTCCCGAAATGGGGGCGGTACTCTTCCACGATCTTTGCACGCAGGTCATCTGGCGAAGCAAAGACACCCCACCTCGGATTGGCAGCCTGAACAGATGTGCAGAAGCCAGCCCGACAGCTGAGCAGCGGACCCAGACTCGCCAGCACATTCGGTCACGGGGACATGTGCCTTCCCGCCGAACATCGAGACGCCAAGTGAAAGGAAACTACCGGCCCTAAAACAAGAATGTGAATCCATGATGAAACTTGGCCGTATGCCCCTGCATGCTGGATCTGCTTTAACTTATAATTTAACCCAGCCTGAGGTTTCTCCTTCTTGATGAGCGATTGCGTGGAGTCTCCTCCACCGTGGAAACATGAATGTGAACTGCTTGACACACACTCACCAAGTCGAAAGACGAATCCTTCCCGTGTTGCGGGCACTGTCGCTGGCACAAGCGGCTACAGGCAGTTCAGATGCCAGTAACACCGTGAGTCGGAGATGGGGCAGCGATCCAGAAACCCTTGTTCCAAAATGTACGCCCTTGCAACCCGAGGGGGGCCATGGACAGAATGGCAATATTCACCTAGCCTGAGGATCATCAAACCAAACGAGCGCACGAGGTCCATGGAGGGTAGTCCCTACTGGGACTTCCGATGAGACTTCTTGGTGTCTCCGTGAGATATCCGTAGTGGCGGTGCAACAAGGGCGCGTGCGAACTTCGGTTCGGCTAAACAGAGTTGAAGCAAGACTGTCACTGTGCATCACCTGGGGTATCGACAACCGACAGGTCATGACTAAGCCACACATGCTCGTTCGGCAAGGCTCGGGAAGGCTACAACAGCCAAGGAACACGAAGAGACGAAAGTTGCGGGAACTCAGAAGTTGTTCGGCAGGCTTTCGGCAAACTCTGACTAGCAACTGCACGCGCCGCGGGCCGTCCTTCCTGCTTTGCTGGCACGCCGCCATCGCTCTGTCAGGGGCAACACAGGCCGCATGAGTCATCCGAAGTGCCGACAGAACTTTTGCAAGCGGACATGCCTAGGGGCCTAGAAAGCCACAACACACCGTCGTGTAGCCTCCATCAAGGGTCGCCACACATAGCGCCCCTGCGGACATTACAAGCACCTTGTGCTGCACTGCCCCGGTACCCTGTGTGACTGGGATGCACCTCTGGTAGTCGGCGTTGTAGGATCAGAGACTCGCTGACCCAGGCATCCGTGACGACAGCCTCGAGGGCATTGCTCTGAAGCACTGCACTGTAACATGATGCTGTGTCAAGAGAGGCCTACTGGAGCAAGCTATTTGGGCTGACGCTCTGCGGTGTGTGAGGCGATGGGTGTGCACATCCTCTTGCAACAGGTGCAATCGAGAATCTTGAAAACCGGGACCATGTCTGGCCTCTGCGCAGTGTCTTTATGTGACACAAAGGAGACTGCATTGCAGGCTCACTCTTTGAAATGCCAAGTATCATCTGGGTAGTCCTGCATCAAGACGGCCCTGCAGTCGGCACAATGCATCCATTCACGGGAAACATCGGCCACAAACCTGGAGCCAACCCCCACCTTGGCATTTGGCCCGCTACCACCACGTGTGTCACTGCGTCGTCCCAGGACTCGCGAAGAGAGCCTGCACACAAGACAACTGCCCACCACGCACTTGTTCCTCCAACAAGTTCAGGAATGTCTCACTGGCGCTGACAACGTTGATGTTGACTTATGTCGCTATCCGCCGACCCCTGCGGGGCGGCACTCAGAAGTTGTGTTGCCGGCTCGGTTTTCGGCTTCGCTCGCTTTACGCGGGTTTTCGCTGCACTCCAATGCATGCCCACGCATGCCCAACCCCACCAAAAGACGCACTGCTCGCCATCCTCTGCCACCCCGGGCATCTTTGGCTTGTTTTCATGGTTTTTTGGTGGTAGTTCTGCCACCTTGCCCACCCCGGCGCTCCTGGTTTTGCTTTTGTGGTAGTTTGGTGGTAGTTTTCGATTCCAATGCAAGCCCAATCCCACCAAAAGACGCACCGCCTGCCATCCCGTCTGCCCCGGCCCTCCTTGGCTTGTTTTCATGGTATTTTGGTGATAATTTGTTGCTTGAAAACGTCCAGTGCTCAAGTCTTAAATTCCCAAAGTGCCGTGTTGCAAGCAGGCACTCCTGCACTGCCAACTTACCGGCCGGTCTTCAGCGCCCACTACTGGACCCTGTCCTTCACAGTAACGATTTCGTCGTTTATTTAAGCCCAAGGCAAGCCCAACTCCTCATGCCCCGGCGACCCCCCCGGCCCTTCAGCGACCCCAGCGCACTACTGGACCTTGTCCTTCGTAGCAGTGGTTTAGTCGAGCCCAAGGCAAACTTAACCTTCCGTGCCCTCCGACCCCCCCGCCCCTAGAGCGCACTACTGGTCCCAGTCCTTCTGAGCAACCATTTATGATTTAGTCAGCCCCCTCGACCCCCCCGACGCCTCAGCACCCCCAGCGTGCACCACTTCGAGCCAACGGCAAGCCCTCCCCGCATGCCCCCCCGACCGCCCAGTGCCACCAGCGCCCACTACTGGACCCTGTCCTTCGGAGTAATGATTTAGCCATTTAATTCTAGCCCAAAGCAAGCAAGCCCTGCCCCTCGTGCCCCGCTGACACCCCCCGACGCGCTGAGAGCCCCAACGTCGTCGGCCCTCACCCCCCGCCGGGAGCTTATAGGTTCTGGGAACTCAGGCTATCGTCGTCGTCATGCCCTTGCCCCCTTTGCTGGGAGCTCAGGCTCTCGCCTTAGTCGTCGTCAGCCCTCCCCCTTGCAGGAGGCTCAGGGCGTTTTCCGTGCCTACTTTCGGAACATCTGCACCCCAGCCCCCACTGCTACAAGCCACAAGAAACAAATTATGTCGTGCATTGATTTGGAATTCGTTAAATTCTTAACTTCGCGCACAACGAAAAAAACTCGCTTTGAAGCTCGCGCGCACGAAGCCTTCCTCGGGGTCGGCGGCATTGGCGGCAGCCATTAAATCGGGCAGCGCTCGGTCCCCGAGTGCATGCATCCTCTGAGTTCCAGGCTTCGCCTGGTATAGCCTTGCTAGCTTTGTTTTAGGCAAAAAGCGCGACCGCCAGTGCCACCGACCCTGCATCATCGGACCCTTGTTTTTTCCACCGGGCCGCGCGGGACCTCCCGGAGGGCTTTCGGAACATGTACGCGTTTCGCAGCCGATCCCCACGGTATGGCGGTTTTCGGGGACAAGGGCTTGGCACAATAGGCTCAAGCGGCAAGTCGTCTTCTGAAGACCCGGCCGTTGGCTGGAAATGCTCCAATGTCCCCTCAGCGTGGCCGTCCCTTGATAGGAAACCGGAACTCTATCCGCTAGCCTCTACCCCTGGTTCTGCACGAAGGCTGCACATCGTGTGAACTGTTTGCTGCAGGCGCCTCCAGCTTCGCAAATTCGAGCCTGGCTTCCGGGTTGATTCGAAGGTGGCTGTGAAGTTTCGTGCCAACAAAATGTGGGGGGACGGAACCCTCCCGGCAAATACAGGGGCCTCTAGCAGTTGCTTCCGTGTGGAAGACATGGCGGTGCCTCCTCTGTACAGGCAGAAACTCAGAAGCACTGCAGGCATTCAACGAATGTCCTCGGCCGCAGACCAGTACAGCACATCCCGCGAAGATCTGCCTTCCCTTGCTTGCAGGAACCTGCGGCTTCGCGAGACTCAGAGTGCAGCGCGCCACCTCCACACCCTCGCGCCTGCTATGGGTAACATCTAGCGAGCTAGCGAGCTAGGGCTGCTACTCACTACTCTGCCAATGCTTCCAGTCCAGTTATTAGCCGCCTCCTTGAGCCTGCTGCACTTCTGCGGCAGGTTTGCGCTTCCCGGAGCTTCGGCCTTCCGCTTGCGGCCAGGGCTCAACGCCTGAAGCCAAAGGGATTTCTGCAGAGCAAGGCGCGCCTAAGCCCTAAGCCAGGCCTCGTAAGCCGGCTTGCTGACGCAAGCCGGAGCCTCTGCTCGTTTTGCAGGATCCTCTTGAATGGCCCCCCGAGCCGGATGCACAGCCTTGCAAGGGGAAATCAACAGCAGCCAGAAGCTACAGCCCGCTCCAGCCGGTGGCCTGCCCACGTCCAGAGTAGACCCAGGAAGCAAAGTTCTGGAAGTCTACAGCATCGTCCTTCCTTGGTTGCAGCCAGGTTTGAAGGAAAGGACAAAACATCTGAGCACCCATTGCGTAAATCTGCCTTGCTCTTCTCCAATCCCAGATTCTCTTCGGAACGCGCAAAAAGCGCAGAGAGCAGTGATGCACGGGTGGCGTGACCCAGAGAATGCAAGAACTGGCTCAGATTCCCCTGCCAAACACAGTGCGAAAAGCAAGAACTCAAGCCGAACTGTCTCGCCCAACGGTGCCCAACCTGAGAGAGGGCCCGGCCACCAGCCGCGCACTGGGCGAAGACCTGTGAAATCGACTTCGAACGCTCGCAGTCTCGGGTGTGAGTGGTCGGTGTTTGCAGCTGCGCAGTGGTCATGGGCGGGGCGGGGAGTATATTGGAGGAGGATCCTGCTCCAGCTCAAGACCGCTGCTGGATAAAGAAGGAGAGGGAAGAGGGGTCTCTCCCACAGTATGAGCAGTTGCTGCACTTTGCCGGCCTTCTCGCAGCGTCGCTTGGCGTCACGCGGCCCGAGGCCTGTACCAATTGCCTCGACGAGTCGGTGTTGTGACAGCTCTGACGTCGCCGCGCCGCTGTGCTGCGCTGTGCTGCTCCTGTGGCTGCGCTTGTCAGGTCGGCCTGGCGGAGGACGGCCCGCGGATCCGTGCGGCGCGTGGCGGCCGCGGACAGCTTGCGCAGGACCTCCCCCAGGCAAAGACACAGTGACACAACGCGCCAAGCGGAGCGCCAGCGCATCCGCCTTGTGAGCCTGGCGCTGGGGCACCTCCTAGAGTCCACATCCAGACGTGCGTCTCTCTGCTGGGGCCCTTGAGAAGGGAGGCTCGGAGGCTCCTTACTCGCCGGCCGAGAATTGTTAAAGCGCACAGTGATGGAGCCATCAGGTGCAATCGCCTGGCACGACCAGAACAGCTAGAACTTTGGAGCACTCCCTAGACAATAAACCTTGCTTCAGGCTGTCCTGCACCTCGCCGTCATCAAACCACCTGCACAACCCCATTCATTCAGCCGCACTGCGAGCGTGATCTAGAAAAGGACATGCATCTGTGGCTTGCTTACGGTGCACAGTGCTACCTGTTCTCAGACATCTGGACATTCAAAGTTCTGCAATCATGGAAACGTGCACAAAGGCCATCCGCCTCTTGGCCGAGGAACTCCACACATGCACGTGATCACCAGCAGCAAACTCTGCCGCAGCCTAGACATCCGCAGTGACACTAAGTTACTCCAGCTGAGCTCAGTTTGGCAATAAAATCCGCACAAGCGCAGAGTTGCAGTTGAATGACAAGGACCGGCACACCTACATGTCACACTCCAACTGTCTGTGTCACTCGTTCTGTCCAGACACTCGTCATCAACATGCCTGAGCTGCCGACTGTGCTTCCTGGGATGCTGCACATCTTCCACGCACAGCACACGGCCCGACAGCAGCTTCGAGCCACATCGGCGAGAAGGACCATGTAGCAACAATAGAACATCATCACACGTCTTGCAACATGATACATATTGTGAGTGTCGACACGGGTCAGTGATGCCAGTGGAACTGTCACTGAAAAGCTTGTGTCGCAGCTCCTCCTCAGCAATTGCCTCCGGAAGATCGTGGAGAATGACCGTGTTCCGCTTGCTCTTCAAGATGGGCTTGATCTGCATACTCTCCTCCCAAGCCGACAAGACTTTCTTCGCGCTACTGCAACTTGCTTGCCGGTTACCTTGTCAACAATGACTTGTTCGGAGCGAAGCCTTGCAACAGTCAGTTCACATATGAAGACTTCTACAGCCGCCAGAACACCAAGCCAAGGAAAGACACAGGAATGAGGCCGCGGCGCCGCCTCGAAAAGAGTAGCAATGTCTACAATTTGCCCCATCTCCTCAAACTGCTGGTGGCCTGGAAAAATCGGATGCAAGGTGCATCCAAAAACGAATCGAGACACACATAGCCACACAAATGTCACCGTGCACTCTGATGTTGCCAGACCAGGACTATGCATGTTTAAGCCCTTCGTCAATAAACCGAGTCTGTCGCCAGCCAGGATCGGGATTGGGATCTGCATCTGCGAGTCCATGTTCATCTGGATGAAGCAGTCCTGCAGCTTGCAGTTGGGCGCTGATCTCTCTTGCTCTTTCCTTTCGGATCGGCTCGATATTCTACTGCGCAGAGCCAGCCATTTCCCTGGAAGGGCGTTCAAACTCCATACCTCATCCACAGCTCACAAATGGTCTGATGGCAATGCTTCCTCCTGCAGGTTGTCTCGTGACAGCAGGAACTCCAACCTCGACAGTGCATATGCCTCTAAATCATGCGGAAAACTCTTTAAACGAAACCGACTGCGCTCCCTGCCAGAGCGTCTGGGGCTCTTGCTTTTCACGCACTTTCTCAATGGACTCCTCGCGGTCCTGCAATGAAGTACACATGTCATCTTTTCAAACTGGTTGATGGCCACTCTGCAGGCCCAACCAAACCTCTGTGGTCTCTGCCATTGGCTTGACGGGGCGCAGCAGCCTGTAAGAGGCGTAGAGCCACGAATTCCATCACATCGCACAAGCTGCACCGGATCCGAAATGTAGAGTTGCACGTTTGCAAAGCTCGGCAGGGCAGTAGTTCTTGCTTGTCTTCGCAAGTTTGAACCTCGGATCTGGGAGCCTTGACAACGCTGCAGTCATGTCCTGCTGGGGTACTTTGACACCATTTCCAGTGTCAGACTTGATACAAACTCCCTCACATCGCCTACCACGCCTGTCAGCATTGCTCGCCGGGGGCGAGCGCAAGTCTTCAATCCAGCAGGTTTTTGGCTGAGGATCAATGGTGCCTGCTCTGCCCTCATCTTATGGGTGCAAGTCAGCTCTGTCTCGATGTACGACTCTATGAGTGACGAACGATGATGAAGGTGCTGGGAAAATGCTTGGGCTCCAGCAAGGTGGGATAGTCCTTGCTTGGGCTGCGGTGCTGTCGCAGAACTTGTTACTTGTGAAGATGCTTAGGGTGTTTCCATGCCTCTATGCACTGTTGCTTACAGAGCAGCTCCATGTTTGAGAAGCACGGAAGGATGCCAACGAGGCCAGCAAGATCCACAACCAGAATCAGAACAAGGACCTACTTGCAACACCACCAGTCGAACGGCTGACAATCTTTCAGTCAGGAGCCACTATTTCTCCCAGTGGGCTGCTGGTTTCTTGCCTGTCATACCTCCTCTGTGCACTACCAGTACATCGACCTGTTAACCCCTCCTCCGGAAACCAGCGACAGTATCAATTGGTGCTCAACGTGACACCCTACTTAGCGTGTGACGAAGAGTGACTAAGAGCCGACCATTGTCACTGACATTCCGGTTGGTGTTTTTGTTGCTGTGTCGCTATCTGCATCAAGCTCAAAGAAGTCTGAAGAGTCGCAATGAGTTTTTTTGCTTAAAGCAATTCGACGTCATCGCCTTTGGTCGGCCGGTCTAGGGCGCTCAGGGCGCTAAGGCCGAGCCTCAGCAGCACAGAAGCGTGGATCTCTAAATGCCTATGCAGAGGTCCGTAAATATCAAGCCATGTGTGTACATGTATGTCTCTATATATATATACAAAAAACACACATGGGTACAAACACGTGAAGTGTATGTATGTATGTATGTATGTATGTATGTGTGTATGTGTGTATGTATGTATCTATGTATCTATGTGTGTATGTGTGTATGTATGTGCGTATGTATGCATGCATGCATGCATGCATGCATGCATGCATACATACGCACATACATACACA